GCAACAAATGAACATACTTCTTTATCAAATCTGTATACTATTGAAATGTCCAGGGAGTTCCAATAGTTTACAACAGCCATTTAAAACAATAGTCAATACTAATTCCAAAAATGAAAATATCCATGGTGAGAATATGTAACTGACCAAGATAACTTAATTCAATTTTAAATGGAATAATAAATAGTTAACATTAATAATAAGCATAGATCTCACCTACGCCCCCAAATGACTTCCAACTTACCAACTTCTAGAAGCCCACCAAGGAGGAACCAACCAGAGCATTTTATTTAACTTCCAGAGAGGCTGTTCTTCAGAACAGTTGTCATTTCTGAAAACAGAAAGCATTGATATTTAGCTTTTGTTAGTGAGAGTTAGTAACCATGATTCTAAGATCCCAATTTAATTATATTTATTCAAGCACAATCAAACCTTTCCTCAATAAGCACCTTTTTTCTTGCATTACTTATGTTAGCAGTATGAACATTTCTTCTTTTCTTGCCCCACATTCTAAACTCCTGCAGCAAATAGTTTTCAGTCAAGTATTCCAAACACGGCATCCTTTAGATCAGACTTTTCCAAACTGTGCTCTGTGGAATTTAAGGATTCTATGAGATCTTGATGGGATTCCGTGGGAGGATAAGGGGTGGGGAGAGATCCATTAAACTACTACAACAACCAATTTCCCGTCATTAGAGCTTTGCCTGTTGATTCCAGTCAAAGCTGTGGGTTTTTTTTCCCTAAAAATTAAAAGGTTTTGTGAGCTGCTGGAGACATGTTAGATTTCAACATGTCTCCAGAAACTCACAAAGAACATAATTCTTTATGGAAGTTGAAGTCTAAAACATCTGAAGAGCTTTGGGAAGAGTGCTTTAAATAGTATGAGCTGGAAAGTGAGTTTACTACCCAACAATGTCAGCCATTGGAGGGCCAGGTTCAAAAAACTCAAGATGGCACCTGTAATTATGCAGTTGAAGCCCCTGTCCTTTTATGTTGCAGAGGGCAAATAAAAAGGGGGGGAAGGGCTTCAATCTAATAGTGGCAGCTATCATCTTGGCTTTTTTAATTCTACCCCTCACACAGACATACATTGTGGGCATCCCTGTTTCCCAAACAAAATCATTTGGATGGCATCTCCATACAAATATTTTGTACCATTGATTTTATAGAAAACGCCTCTAATGCTTGAAGACATGATGTGTCTGCTGATCAGTTGTGGCAGAATGGTTGCTGTCCGTAATATTTCCAGCTCTAGCCATTTCTGCAAATGTGATAATTTGCAGAAATTGTTTGCAACACATCAGTTCCCATTCGTTATCTATGATCAACCATTTGGGTTAATCAAGTTGTACCATAGAGCAATATATCCCACATAGTTTTGTTCATTGTTGCAAAAAAAGCATGAATGCATTAACTATAATAAGGTGAATTTGTAAGCACATCCATTCACGGCAGGAATAAACCAGCATGCTTTAATGGCATTCTGGTTTGTTTTTCCTCCCTCCCTCCCTCCCTTCCTTCTCCTCCCTCCTTCTAATTTCACATCCTATATACTTCCTAATGCTACTTACCTTTTTACTGGATTGTTCTGATATAATAACATGATGTACAGCAATGCCATGAGCAGAAAAGGGGGAAGAAGAAGCTGCTGGAATACAGTTGGAAATTAAGGAAACAATGGAGGTTAGGTATAGGAGGAAGAGAAAATCCACCAGAAGTCTAGTTTTAATGCTGAACTTGGGAATGGCCATTTGAGCAGTGATAACAAGCAGTGCCCATAGATAGATCTTGTCTTCACTAGGTGGTATAAGCATATGTTTTCATACACTAAGAATCTGAGCCATAGTGCCTGACTTGACATTTAATTTAAACCTTCAACCATGCAGTTCACTTCCCTGACCTCATACCTGTCCTTATCATGCTCATTCTGTCTTGCATTATCAACCTTGAAGCACCTCAGCTTGGTGACTAGTGGCTATTGGCACCCAAAAGTTTTCCCTAGAGACCAGAATTCCACAGTAATCATCATCATTGAACAAAGATATTTTTGGTGTGTTTATTTGTTTAAGTGGAAATTATTTCCTTGACTCTAATTACCCTTCATCTGTTCTTGCCTACAGCTTGGATGCAAAAGGGATTTCTCTGAACATTTGGCAATTCTTTCTTCTTAGTTCAGAAAGTAGACAATGGAAGAATTGTACCACTAAGTTCTCATCATTTTGAAATGCTGGACATAATTATTATTAGTACTACTAGTAGTAACAGTAATACCTAAAGTTGTCCAGTTACTTCCATGGCTGAGGGTGGTCTTAAACCTTGGTCTCCAAGTTCAGGTTCAACTTCTTAGCCATTATAGTGCACTGGCTGTTTACAATAAGATAGTGGTTAATACACTGGACTAGAAGTGGGGAAACCCAAATTCTAGTGTTGCTATAGGCATGGAAACCAACTGGGTCACTCAGTTCTTCTTTCTCAGCCCTAGAAAGAAGGCAACAGCCAACCCCATCTGAAAGTGTTGCAAAACACTCTTCAAGGACATCCATATGGTGGCAAGGGTCAGAACTGATGTGAAGGCACTACACACCCACAAACAGATAAATACACTTTATTATGGTGTGCATGGAACTGAATCTGAAGAGAAATTTGACAACAAGTATACAAATTGCATAGAGAACTGAAAATTTATGTAGGCAAAACGCTATTCCCTGCCCCAAGGAATTTACAGATTAATTTCAACTGTGTGGCACAGAATTAGGAGTACTAGTATCCTCCAGATATCAAACTTATAAGCCAGTGATTAGGAATTTGGGGAGTTGTAGTTGAAAACATCTGAAAGGTAAGGTAAGAAAGGGATGGATGTGAACATATTTAAGCTTTGATTCCTTGACCTGATGCTGGTAGCAGTGTTCCAATATTTGAGGGGCTGCCACAGAGAAGAGGGAGTCAAGCTATTCTCCAAAGCACCTGAGGGCAGAACAAGAAGCAAAGGATGAAAACTAATCAAGGAGAGAAGCAACCTAGAACTAAGGAGAAATTTCCTGACAGTTAGAACAATTAATTAGTGGAATGACTTGCCTTCAGAAGTTGTGAGTGCTCCAACTCTGGAAGTTTTTAAGAAGAGATTGGACAATTATTTGTCTGAAGTGGTATAGGGTTTCCTGCTTGAGTGGGGGTTTGGACTGGAAGGCCTCCAAGGTCCCTTCCAACTCTGTAATTCATTTAAAGGTGCAGGAGACCATTGGTTACCTACAGTTTGAGGATCTTGGAAAAATAGAGGAGTTAGGAAGGAACATATTCAGAGATCAGAGGACAGAAAGATAAGGCAGGCAAAGCAAACAGTCTGGTGTAGAGGTGGAAAGGAAGGAAAATTAAAACTACAGTGATTTCCAGGCAATGCACAGAATCTGCCTTAGGAAAGCTGAACATGTTTTTCCCAAGGAAATGCTTTTGGTGTGTGTATTGTGCATTATTCAGCAATCTCATTGCAGTATTTCGTCACTGGAAATAGGAAGCATTTTTGTCGCAGTTGCCGGAACGTTGTGTGCTATGCAGTTCTGAGCACATGATTGGGGATGCACAGGCACAAAAGCCAGCCCCCTCCACCACTGAGTGGTGAATTGTCTTTTTTTTTTTTTCTTAATAGGCTTTTGAAGGCTAAGCACTTCCCCTCTCTAGTTGAGGCACATAGATCTCACCAAGGAATATGCGAGCTTATCTCATTTCCTGACTCACTTACGAGATTCAGTTATCATTGTCCATGTATAATCTTCCAATATTTTCCATCACTTTTTCTCTCTCCTCCCTCCCCCCCATTACCACACATTAAAAATTAACTTGTAAGGAGAAAAAGGTGTACTAACTGCACAAAAACCATGGACTGGAATCGCTAGGACTGCCAGACTGAAAGTACATCACGTGTGTGTCAGAGAAAGAGAGTTTCTAAGGCTTTCAACAGGCTGTCTTGTCCTCAGATGTCCTCAAATGATCCCCCTGATAACAAGGGGTTTTCTCTCTCCTTTTCTCTAATAGGATGGCATTATTGTTGGTGCTGTACTCTCAAGAGCATGGTCTGGGAATAATGTTTGGTCATTTTGAGAGGCCTCCAGTAATCTGCAGCACAGATTACTTTGCTGAGCAAACTTCAGGAGAAAAGAAACAGGAAAGCTTATCTCTCAGCCAAGTCTCTTGGGGCTTTCTAAAACCAACAGCTTACTTTTCTCTTTCTCTCTTCTCTTTCTGTGATACACATACCCGCAGAGACATTTTTCGAGAAGAATTCTCAGGTCTAGTTGAACTAACCTGAACAAATCAGTCCCTAGCATCTGCTGTGTGAATCCCAGGAGAATTCAAGCAGGCAACCCCTCAGACAAAATAACTTCTTGACCTTCTGCCTTTCCTTTTTCCAAGGAACAGCAATACATGTCAAATGGCAGTCCTTGAAATAGCTCTCATCAAGTGTTCTTTCCAGCCTTCGTTTATGAAGAATGGGTGGGGAATGTTTGTTCTTTGTAAATTGGCTTGAGACTTTGAGCTAAACAAGAGTTTGTTTACAATAGGCAAAATACATAAACTGCTTTCAGTCTTTGCTCCTGCTTTCTCAACCAGCTTCTGCCTCTGATCTTTCTGTTACTTGAAACAAAGGATTGGCTAGCTAGCTCCTCCTTCTCCTAGGTAACTTCATCATTGGTGACTTGTAGCATCTGCTAGAGTCCTCCAACTATCATTGTGCCAAAATAATTGCAATGAGGGCAGGTTTTCTGTCATTTCGGTGATGACTGACTGATTCTATGATAAGCTGCAAGTCACTAGGGGAAATGGGCTTCGATAGTCAGGAAATAATTTTCACTATAGGGAACATCTGAAGAAAGACATGACTAAGAGTACAATTACATTTGTATGTATTTGTGTGTATAGGTAAAGAGCAAATAGCTAAATAGTCAACTGGTTTGGGATATAGCCCCTCTTGTGCCCCACTAATAAGCTGTATGTTTTACTTTCACCAGCAGTTCCTTTTCAACAAAACCCATACAACTCTGGGGGGCGTCCCACCATAATTCAATGCTATCGCTGTGGAGATACTTGTAAAGGCGAGGTGGTGCGTGTCCAGAACAATCACTTCCACATCAGATGTTTCACATGCCAGGGTAAGTGCTCCATGTTGTTCCAAGCTGAGACAGGATTGTGAACCTATTTAAAGTATAGGATGCCAGTAGGTCCATTTACAGAGTGAAGAGAAAGGGCCAGAGGTTATGGTGCCTTTACTTACTTATTTATTTATTTTAGATTGATTTAATTATATAATTGTTTTATTTATTTATTTATTTAATTCCTACACCAAGTTTTCAAGGACCAAGACAGAAGACAGACATGCCTCAGTTAAAATGTTTTCATTGCATATTTTTTGAATTGTAAGTAATTTAACTGAGGCATGTCTTGGTCCTTGAAAACTTGGTGTTAGGATTAGAAAGAAGTACAGTGCAAACTAAATGGAATGTCCTTAAGCAGTTGCAGAGTACCAATAAATGAGTTCCTTTGGCCACAATATAGGTCAGTAGGTAGAGTTGATAGCATACAGAAATTTGAAAAAAAAGGAACCTGGGTTTAATTGGGGTTAGGAAAAGTGAGAAGGTTCTTGCTTAAACTGGAGATGTGCATTTAAAGCCAGTCTATTACTCATTCCTAAAGCCTCCACAATGGTATTTTCATGAATTTACCTAGAGATTTTTAGTAGAAGTCTAAGAATCTTCATTGATGTGTAATTTCAAAGATATTCGGGAGGAAGTCATGCCTGTTAATCTGAAAAAAACTATACTAAGAATGATCTCTCTCTCTCTCCCTCCCTCCCTCCCTCCCTTCCTCTCTCCCCCTCGAATTGTAAGGTAGAATAACCAAGAGCTATCCTGGAATTTCTGATATTAGTCTTGAAAGCCTATCCAAATCTCTCTTTGTTCCACCATATAATAAACAAAGCAAGGTGGGATTACATTGGGCTTCTTTCCTTCCACTTTCCTCTTTCTCAGAACTATTTAATCTTTTCTGCAAGTCCCCCGATAACAGCTTGTTCAACATTTTCCTTATGTCCAAGATCAATTCTGCATTTTCTCTGTCTCTTTCTGACATACGGTACCCAGAGAATGTGTGTCTCTAGACATAAATGCAACTCCTAGCATCTCCAGACCCACATGATAGTTGCAAGGGATACTAGAAACTGCAGTTCCCACATATCTGCAGGACCTCAGGTTCCCCATTGCTTATTCTCTAACAGGCAGAGAGATCATTTCAAATAAATTTGTATGCATGCGTTGGTGCAGGCCATTGTGTTGTTTGATGATAGGCACAAGTGCTAGCTAATGTGAGAAAAACTCACTGTTTTGTTAAAGTAATAGAAGTGGTGAATTGGGAATGGGATGAATCTTTTGTAATTCATGTTGTACCCTTTATAGCTCTGGTTACTACTCATTAGAGCAGCTGTTTCAAATAAATGCAGCAAGAAGCCCACTCACATCTGTTCTGGGTTTAATTTTTCAGTTTCTTTGCTTTACTCCTCCCACTCACCCTTCCATCAGTAGGGCAGGGACATAATTTAGTACTTCACAACATTCAGTTTTCAGCAGAAGGCAATTTAGTCTCCAAATACGTTCAGGATCACATGTGGCATTTGAAAACTATCCCATGTAACAGGAAACAGATATGGAAAAGAATTCCAAAGATGGCCAAGACTTTTGTATGCAGTGTCACATGTGGCTCCTGACAGTCAAAGCTTCATGACGGGCATTATATGGCATGGCAAGAAAATGAGGACATGCACTAATACATGAAAACCTAGGTGAAAAACAAGCATAGAAGTACCATCGTATCAGTTCTTAAACTATAGAATGGTCATGAACAGTAACAATTTACTTAAATAAGCAAAGCAATGTCTCTTTGGTCCTGCTGCCTGTTTTGGTATTTACTCTAAAAGGGAACAAAGTGTGCTTAGCTATTAAATAAATATACAGAAAAGAAAAGACCTCATAGGAAAACAAAACATTTTTGTTGCCTTTTTATTTGTTATTTTATATGCAAAGTAAAAAAATACAAAATGCATTTCGGAAGAAAACTTCTTCCACAGGGATAGTTCAAAAATGAATTCAACTTATTATACCGTTACATAAAACACAAGAAATAGCTATTTAAAATACCAGCCAAATGTTGTTTAAAGGGGATATTAACCAAATATATATGATTTGAAGTGCAATTTTCATATACAAGCTGCACGTCACATTCTAAAAGTGTTTCATGGGAATTGTTTTTGCCTGGGGTTTTTATGTAATTGTACAATATATCCAGTTCATTTTCAGATTGCCCAAGGAATTCCATCCAAACCTTGCTAGATGTTTTTGCAATTAAATTAAAAACAAGGGCAAAAATAGTCTTTCTGTGAAATTTTGTCTCTTGTTCTCATCTTATATGAAGCTTCCATAATTAACCACAAAACTTCCTCATATTTAAATCTTTAGGACAATCAGGAAGTTGTAGCTTGTACACATTTTTTGTCCACCTCTATCTCAAATCCAAATTACCCAAGGAAATTCAGTTAAAGGTGGTTAGCAAGCTATTCTAATAGAACTCACATCAACTGACCGGCACCCTACAATTTCTCCATTCAGAAATCCCAGGATGTCTTGCCCTGTAAATAGAAAGACACCTGCTTTTCCATTATGCCATAATTCTTCCTCCTTCTGTTTGCTGACAAATGAGAAGAAGGTTCACAGCCATTCTGCCAAACCAAGATTGTTTGTACCAATGAAGGAGAATAAGAGAATAAGGAGAATAAGAATAAGATTGTTGGACCTGCTATGTACATGAGCATATTTCTTTGACCTTTGCCACCACCTCCTTCTTCTCCTGGGATCTTAAGAACCTTAACCTGGGGCTTCAATCTAGATAACAGAAAGCCACTTGAGTATCCCCACACCCACCCAATGGATCTCAGAAAGCAAGATCATGCAACTGATTATTTGTAACACTGTATTTATGTATTGCCCAAGTTGTCCTCAGTCATCCAAAACAGCCACTGAAACTGAGATCTAATTGTATAGTATCTTTCCAAATCCCAAAGAGTAGGTGCGAGTTGTTTTAATTGTGATGAGAAAGGATGCATGCTGATTTAAACAAGATTTTAGATTAGAATTGCAAAACATGTTTGAATGCAATGAACACACTTGCGTAGGTCCAGAAATTAAGCAAGTGGGAATGAAGACCACACCTGGAATTCTGCAGCCAATTTTGGTCACTATATCACAAAAAAGAGAAGAGCAACTGAGATATTAAAGGCCTGGAGACTAAAACATACAAAGAACGGCTGCAGGACTTGGGTTTGGCTAGTCTAAAGAAAAGAAGAAATGGGGGAGACATGATAGCAGTGGTCCAGTATCTGGGGGGCTGTCACCAAGAAGAAGGGGTCATATTATTCACCAAAGCACCAGAGGGAAGGACAAGAAACAATAGTTGGAAACTGATCAAAGAGAGAAGCAACCTGGAATTAAGGAGAAACTTCCTGACAGTGAGGACAATTAACCAGTGGAATAGCTTGCCCCCAGAAATCGTGGGCGCTCCATCACCGGAGATTTTTAAGAAGAGGCTAGACAGTCACTTGTCTAAAATTGTATAGGTCCTCCTGCTTGAGCAGGGGGCTAGACTAGAAGACCTCCAAGGTCCCTTCTAGCTCTATTCTATTCTAATTCAGTGCACTGGAACGTTCACATGCCAAGCCCCTGGAGAAAGTAGCTCCAAAGAGCATTTGTTCATATACTAAATCATTTTTACCCCTTTTTAAGAAACAGTCTTCTACAACTCTTAAAAAATTCATTACTAGCTTCTTCTTTTTTCCAAGTTGGTGCACTCAGCTTGGAAAATAAATGTGATTTCATTCAGATTATCTTCCACAAATATTCAGTAAACAAATCACAGTAAATGAAGAAATCAACAGCAGTTTAAAGCACCTAGAGAAACCCAGGTATGATTTTTTTTATGTTGCATAAACATCCACAATATCTGACCACTGATCTTAATCATAATCATATCTGAGGATAAAAAGGATGTAGAAAGTGCTTAATAAAAGAAGTCTTCTTTATTGCAGGAACATAGAATTATTATCACTGCTGTAGCATGATAGGGGCATAGTTGTGCAATTAACTAATGCATGTTGTCTAATCCACCCTAAAATTTTATTCACTTATTCAAATATAATAGACATACCCATCTCCCAAAATCAGCCTTCTGTGGTTGTGAGTGGGACTTTCATTGAGAAAATTATTTCTGCAGTCATTTTAAGTAATATGTTATATAGCCCAGAGAATCTAACTGGTAAACATTTCCTTCAACATGAAAGACCACTCCCCCACACATATACACTTAAACTCTTCTATAGCCTACTTGTGGGGCAGTATTATCATCCTGTTTATCAGCCTCCAAGGAGAAAAATGAACAACAGATGAAAAAAAAAGAATCAGCATGTCATATTGCAGCTGTATTATGAGTTCCTAGTGACCTAGTCCATAAGTCAGACCAAGGGCAATATCTTGATTGATTCATTGAGTTGCAACCAGGGAAGTCTATACAAAACAAACTTCTCTTAGCAGTACATGGATGATTTATGTACGGGGGGGGGGGAATTCAAGCAAATCTGAATGTTCTCATGCTCCTAGACTTTATTGGCTCTGCTGGCTTTCAGAACACCACAGGAAAAGTGTATGTCTCCAGCCCCCTGGAGTTTGATGTTGATTATTCTGTTAGACAAAGACTTCAGCCTGTCTCCAGCTTCAAAAGGTACTTAGAACCACCAGGAGAGAACTTGGCAGCCCTCTTTATTTGCTTCCAAAGCAAAAGGAAATCCTTATTCCCTAATGGGAAGTAAGGAGAAGGATGCTTGGTGGAAAGATGAAGTGACTGAGGGAAAAAAATAAATGAAGATTGCTGCAAAAAATGAAAACAAGAGAGAATTGTTGAATAATAGGTCTAGAGAGAAAATATAGGTGCAATCAAGGAGAACAAGGAGGAGATAAGGATTGAAAGAGGCAAAGAAAATGCAGATTGGGGCTTTTAAAATATTTTTTAACCCCATCTTAATTATTTTTACAAATAACTCCAGGCAATGAACATATCGAATACACCTTCCTCCTCCTATTTTCCCCACAATAACCCTGTGAGGTGGGTTAGACTGAGAGAGAAGGACTAATCGAAAGTCACTCAGCTGGCTTTCATGCCTAAGGCAGGACTAGAACTCATAGTCTCCTGTTTTCTAGCCTCATGCCTTAACTGCTACATCAGATTGACTCTTTGATGGAATGTAAACATTATTTTGGAAGTGATTGATGAGGGTAAACAAAGATCATTGAGCAGGAAAAGTGGCATCAAAAATAAAAATGCTTTAAATGAGAAAGACAGCTGTATATCAAAAAGTGGGATTGAAACAAATGCTATAAGTGTTAATGCCCAAGAAAAAAACAATGGCAAGAAAAACATAAATGCTAGGAAAATATTGGCTCTGCAGGTGTAGCTGACATACTTGGAGAAATCTAGGATACCAATAATCCTCAGATTGTAATGGCAATTGGGACCTGGATTGTAATCACTAAGCAATGCAGCCATAAAGCACAATATTTTTTGGCAATGGCAGTCTCAGCAGTCCCAGTTGCTGCTGTAAACCCCAAGATGCACAGCAGGTCATGAAATAAATCCCAAGTAAGGAGCCTGAGAGTGCCACAGGGTTTGGAGGAGGCCAGTGCAGTCTAGATCAGGGGTCCCCAACCCCCGGTCCATGGACCAGTACCAGGCCACAGCATACCAGCAACCGGTCTGCACAAACAAGCAAAGCCCCATCCGCAAGATGCAGGCAGCACACAAAACCACGCACCCCCTGGTCCACCGAAAAACCTTTCTCCATGGAACCAGTCCTGGTGCCCAAAAGGTTGGGGACCTCTGGTCTAGATAGAAGTCAGAGGCTGGGGGGAGGAGCTGGGATGACTGGTGCAGGCCACATGCAAGTCAGGAGGGGGTTTGGGAGGGTCAATGCAGGCCATGTGTGGGTGAGGGGGGTGGTGCATCAGACAGAAAAAACAAGAGTGTCGTATTGGAGTGACCTGCACCTTGACTGCTGGCTTTCCATTGAATTTGCCTGTGATCAGCCAGCACTATCTGCAACCTTATAATTGCAAGCTGAGAATCTTGAGCATTTGGATTGTAATCACATGCCCATGGGGTTGCTATAATAGCCAGAGCTTCTAAGTCCAGTCATACATCCAGTGGTGGGATTCAGCCGGTTTGTACCAGTTCAGCAGAACCGGCAGCTAATTTTTTGTTGCCCAGGCCCAGAATGGACTTTCGGAAGCGGCATCCACACAAAGAACTGGTTGTTCATATATTTGAATCCCACCACTGTGTACATCCATTTTTTTCCAAGCTGTAACTGTAATGGTCACTGAATGAATGGACGTAAGCCAAGAACGATGTGTATGAATATGGTCTCATTATGGAATGGCTGCACACAACATATGTGTGTGTGTGTGTGTGTGTGTGTGTGTGTGTATGTGTATGCTATATTTGTGCTTGACAATAGAAGGGATGCCATTATTGTTCTCTGGCACAAAGGGAGCAGTAACAAAAATGAATTACAGGGAAATTAGTTTGTTTAGTACACCTGGAAGTTATTTATCAGAATTCTAATCAAAGGAGCCCAAAAAGGAAACAGCAAAGTTTTGGATGTGTTGTGCCAGACAGTAGGTGTCCAGACTGGCTTTTTTTTTTTTTTCCTTAGCAGAAGCAGAGATGCATGAATGTGGGAATGTACAAATATTGATTTATAGAAGATGTCTGATAATGTGAGATGAATGAAATGTGAAAAATGAAAGTATCTGCATGTAAGAATGCACCTCTGTCAAGTTTGTCATATGGAAATCAGCATTAGGTGTGTCAGGAGAAACATAAAAACAAATAGAATTCAGTGGCAATTGTGTGGCAAAAAAACAAGAAGAGCCTCAAGAATTAATATGGATTATATACCAACAAAGTATATGGAGATGTTTTGGTCAACAAGAATCAGATTGCATGTTGCATATATCAAAGAGGAATGAATGGATTGAGAGGAATGGGAATATTGAGAAAATTGTAGTTGGATGAAGCAGATGAGATCACTGAAAGGAGAGAGGCAAGTCTTACGTAAGAAGCAGCATGTAGATGTGGGGTGAAAATGAATTAACTCTGTTTTTTAAAATTAAATTCAGCATTGGTCATGTTGCCGCTATTGCTTTATCTTGATCTCGTTCATCTTTTTAACCTTCCCAGAAAACTATATTTGAAAAATAAATGTAGTCTTCCCTCTCCCACTCCAAAATTGTTCAGGAACTTATCCCAGTTTGGGTCTTCCTGATGTAACGGGAGTAAAATTCCCAAATATATTCTTACTGGCGACTACAGATTGACAGCGGTAAATTGAGGCAAGCTTGCCTGTGTGACTGTAAAATTGCAAAATGCTTCAAAAACTACTGCTCGGACTATCTGTCTTTCAGTGGGTCATATCTTGTGAGTGTAGTAATTGAGCCATTTCTTCACTGCATTGCCAGTTTGTTTCTCTCCCTTGCCTCACTGGAGAATTACAGGCCAAGGTCTCTGAAAAGACAAGAACTCCACTCAATGTATTTCTCATTCCTTCCCATGGCACCAGTTGCCATTAAAGATCCAATACACCAGTGGCCCCTCTGCTAGCCTACTCAGCCTCTCAACCTGTCTGGTTGTAGTCAATCAAAAGGGCACATCTTGTTGCCGTCATGCACCAAGGCTCACAGCCAATTCCCCAGGCCAGGCTTTCTCTCGGCAGAAATCTCTCTTCATAACATCTCCCCCACCCTCACCTTGCTTTATTTTCACTGTATGGTGCTAACAACACAACAGAGGCATTATAGAACATTACAAGATGTATCTTGCCCTCCTAGAGTCTGTAGGGAGTAGGGATGGTAGATAAGAAGTTACTATTTGATGATGGGCAGAGGAGGGTGGCAGAAGGATGGAAATTTATCCTTACAATTCAAGAAATGGTTTCACTGAGGTGACTCGGAGTCCATCATTGCAGAGAAACTCCAAACTGGCTCAGGCACTTCTATAGTATCTAATGGTGACCTGTGACCAGAGAACACTGATACAATTCTAACACACCAGATGGACCTTTCACATAGGGAGTTCATCAGTGTACTGAGATCACACTGCCCAGTGCCAGTCATCCAGAGGGGGCAGCAGCAGCAGCCTTGTACCTCCATAATTATTTTGTATGGCTTCCTGTCCAACTTGTTTTCTAAAGATTGTTTTGCACAAACTCCTACACATAAGCATCTCATTAGACACACCCTCTCCTTAGGAAAGCATTGCATAATGTGATCCTGTGTGTGTGTGTGTGTGCGCGCACGCACACACACACACACACAGTGGCCCTTGACAACCCCAGCAAATATGTACATGAAAAAAGTCAATAAACAAAAACAGAGAGCAGAACATGTAATTTGGATAGCAAAGATGGAACTGACAGAGCAGAAGGCAAAAACTGGCTGAAGGCATGCTGGAGCAGAAAAGCTTTCAAGCTTGATCAGGGAGATTGTCATCAGGGAGAAGCCAAAGGATTTCCTGAGTCGTAGGGCCTGCCAAAGCTGCGCCATGGAAAGACCCTCTCACATGCCGGCACCAGTCAAGCCTCAGGTGTCAGTGAGGGGATAAAAAACAGGTGGCGGCTTCAGATAATCCTGCGTCAGGCTGCTTTATCTAATATTTAGATACTAGAGAGCGAATAGGCTGAGTTGATAGGAGGTGATTCGGAAGACACATTTAAGCCATTCCAATTTGTGAAATGAATGACCGAGTACATTGAGTGGAGATTAGCCAGGGGTCATAGATATAAGAAGGAAGTCAGTTTTCGACTGGCTGATGAGAATTCCTAAGTATGGCTGGTCCCCCTGTATTTGGTCTTCCTAAAAGTGATGTTTTGGGTGCTCCAATGCTGGAGATTTTTAAGAAGAGATTGGGCAACCATTTATCTGAGATGGTATAGGAATTAGCTGGCTCAGGAATTCTGGGAGTTGAAGTCCACGAGTCATAAAAGAGCCAAGGTTGACTACCCCTAGTATAGGGTCTCCTGCTTGAGCAGGAAGTTAGATTAAAAGACCTTCAAGGTCCCTTCCGACTTTGTCATGTTTTGTGGAAGAAACACAACTCTTATATTTTGGGAAAAGCAATGGGGCTGATGCCAATAAAATTACTGTACAAAATGTGGATCCATTCACCTTGGCTGTGAAGCGTGGACAAGGTTTAACTCCTAAATGTCTCCCCTTTGATTGACAAACGAGGCTTTAGGCATGACACAGACACCCCATCTTTATGATGGCACCTCAAGAAGTGTCTGCTGTTTTAAAACAAAAAGGTGCCTATTTGGAGAGGTGAAAGGACTGACTTTTTTTTTAATCTCTGCATGTACTTTCCCCTCTAGTGTGTGGCTGTGACCTAGCGCAGTCTGGCTTCTTCTTTAAAAATGGGGAATACATCTGCACCCACGACTACCAGCAGCTCTATGGCACCCGCTGTGACAGCTGCCAAGACTTCATCACTGGAGAAGTTATCTCAGCCTTGGGCCGGACTTACCATCCCAAGTGTTTTGTGTGCAGCATGTGCAGGTGAGTCAACTGTCTGACAGCAACATGTGAACCCCTCAGGAGTGACGACGATGGTGAGCAGAATCCCCCTTGGGGAAAAATGCAGTATTCATGTTAAACCACAGATTGCATTACAGCTTTGTTGCAATCAGCATACGACTTACGACCACAACGGAGCCCCAAATTTCTGTTGTTAAGTGAGACATTTGTTAAGCGGGTTTTGCCCCATTTTACAACCTTTCTTGCCACAGTTCTTAAGTGAATCACTGCACTTAATAAGTCAGTAACCCAGCTGTTAAGTGAGCCTGGCTTCCCCATTGACTTTGCTTGCCAGAAGGTCGCAAAAGGTCATGAATATGAACCGGTTGCCAAGCATCCGAATTTTGATCGCATGACGATTGGGGATGCTGCAAAGGTGGTAGCTGTGAAAAACGGTCATAAGTCACATTTTTCAGTGCCGTTTTAACTTTGGATGGTCACTAAATGAACTGTTGTAAGTTGAGGGCTACCTGTACATTGCCTCTGCATCTTATCAGACACGGGGGAGGGTAGAGTTGTCAAATTTGATTCCTTTTATTTGGGAAAAACAGAATCTAGACTGGAATCTCCTTTCAGCCGGTACCAAGATTTGATCCCAGTCCAGCAGTTGCAGGAGAAGCTTGGCCTCCACCCTTAGAATTTGCTCCCCAGTTGGCAGATCTTCTCTGGAAAGTGATGGTTGCCTAAATGCCTTGCCTTTCTAGCCTGATGTGCTCCCCTGGAATTCAACATCAACAGTGTGTTTTGTTTCGTTTTGTTTTTGCTTGTTTCCTTTTCTTCTTCCTTGTTCTCCAAATAATAATTTATCCTGCCCATAAAAACCTCTCCTTTTCAGCAGTTGGTGAAATAATTGATGTTACCAGCATGGCAATGAAAACATAGAAGTGGAAAAATTCAATCCTGAGCTACATATATTTTCTGTTACTGCAAGAATTGCAGGTAGTCCTTGACTTACAACAGTTAATTTAGTGATGACTTGAAGTTACAACGGTACTGAAAAAAGTGATGTAGGACCGTTTTTCGCACAACCATTGCAGCACTCAGGTTGTCAAAATGCGAATGCCTGGCAAGTGGCATATACTTATGACAGTTACAGGGTCTTGGGGCCCTATGATCCACTTTTGTGACCTTCCAACGAGCAAAGTCCATGGGGAAACCAGATTCACTTAACAACCGTGTTACTAACTTAACAACTTCAGTGATCCACTTGACAACTGTGGCAAAAAAAGTCTACAAAATGGGGCAAAATTCACTTAACAACCATCTCCCTTAGCAACATAAATTTTGGCTCTATTGTGGTTGTAAGTCAAGGACTATTTATTTATTTAATTTTATTTATATGCCGCCCAATCCCAAAGGACTCAGGGCGGCGTACAAAATTAAAACAATCATCAACAATAAAACAATAAAATAATACAATCATACAGCATGTCCGATCATATCCCGCCCCCCCCCGGGGACATCAGCCCCAGGCCTGCCGGAACAGGAGAGTTTTAACGGCTTTCTTAAAGGCCGGCAGGGTGGGAGTAGTTCGAACCTCGGGGGGAAGTTGATTCCACCAGGTCGGAGCCACCACAGAAAAGGCCCTTCCCCGAGAGCCCGCCAGCCGACATTGTCTGGCCGACGGGACCTGAAGGAAGCCCAATCTATGGGACCTCACCGGTCTCTGGGAGCTGTGCGGCAGTATGCGATCCTGTAAGTAACCTGGCCCTATGCCATGAAGGGCTTTAAAGGTGATAACCAACACCTTGAATTGCGTCCGGAGACCCACAGGAAGCCAGTGCAGCTCGCGGAGGATAGGTGACACATGGGCGTACCTTGGCGCGCCCACAATCGCTCTCGCGGCTGCATTCTGAACCAACTGCAGCCTCCGAACGCTCTTCAAGGGTAGCCCCATGTAGAGAGCGTTACAGTAATCCAGTCTTGAGGTGACAAGGGCATGAGTGACCGTGAGTAAAGCCTCCCGGTCCAAATAAGGCCGCAACTGGTGCACCAGGCGAACCTGGGCAAAGGTCCCCCTGGCCACAGCCGATAGATGTCGTTCCAAATTTAGCTGTGAGTCCAGGAGGACACCCAAGTTGCGTGCCTGCACTGAGGGAGGTAAATTTGCCCCCCCATGACTAATGATGGACCATCCAGTTGACCTTTGGGAGGCAAGACCCAGAGCCACTCGGTCTTGTCAGGGTTGAGTCTAAGCCTGTTCACCCCCATCCAGACCCTCACATCTTCCAGGCACCAGCACATCACGTCGACTGCTTCACTGAAAGGATACGGGGTGGAGATATATAATTGGGTATCATCCGCGTACTGATGATACCTCACCCCGTGTCGCCGAATGATCTCACCCAGCCGTTTCATGTAGATGTTAAACAGGAGGGGGGACAGGACCGAGCCCTGAGGCACCCCATGATCGAGGCGCCTAGGGGTCGATCTCTGTCCGCCTGCCAACACCGACTGCGACCTGTCAGAGAGGTAGGAGGAGAACCACCGCAATACGGTGCCACCCACCCCCACCTCTCCGAGACGACGCAGAAGGATACCATGGTCGATGGTATCGAAAGCCGCTGAGAGGTCAAGAAGCACCAGGATAGAGGAATGACCCCTATCCCGGGCTCGCCAGAGGTCATCTGTCACTTGCTTCTGACCACTGGTATTCTTCTTCTAAAACTAGATACAGGTGGTCCTGTTGCTAAGTGAGACATCTGTTAAGGGAGTTTTGCCTCACTTTACAACTTTCCTTGCCACGGTTGCTAAGTGAATCATTGTAGTTGTGAAGTTAGTAACCTGGTTGTTAAGTCAATCTGGCTTCTCCCACTGATTTTGCTTGTCATAAGGTCACAAAAGTTGGTCACATGACCCTGGGGCACTGCAACCCATCATAGTATGAACCGGTTGCCAAGTGTCTAAACTTACAGTCTATTGGGATGCTGTAAGTGTGAAAAAAGGGTCATAGGTCACTTTTTTCAGTGCCGTTGTAACTTTAAACGGTCACTAAATTTATTTATTTATTTATTTATTATTTATTTATTTTTAAAATTTATAAGCCGCCCCACTCCCGAAGGACTCTGGGCGGCTAACAATAAAAAATACATAAAACATAACAAAACAACAATACAAAAACAATCATCCAGGGGTAAGGTTTTATAAACCCCAGGCCTGCCGGAAAAGCCAGGTCTTAAGTAGCTTACGGAAAACCAACAGGGTGGGAGCAGCCCTAATCTCCGGGGGGAGCTGATTCCAAAGAGTGGGCGCCATCACAGAGAAGGCCCTCCTCCGCGGCCCCGCCAAATGGCACTGCTTGGCCGATGGGGCCTGAAAGAGGCCCAGCCTGTGGGATCTAACCGGATATAGGGAACTATGAGGTAGTTGAACGGTTGTAAGTCGAGGACTACCTGAATCAGCTTCTTCTGCTTATACTGAGTGAAAGGGAGATGGATTCCTGGTCCTTACCTCAAAAAATACTTTCCAAAACATATGATGCCGTCCAAGGCCGCTGCTTCAAATGGTATCTTTCCCTGTCTCAGATTTAAACTGCCATAATCCTTCACTAGCAGTGATACTGGGGAAGGCTTTGCTGAAGGACGAAGCAGGCCATGAAAGAGATTCCAAGCAGAGGCCTCAGGGTCAGCAACAAAGGCCCAAAGATTGCATTCAAATATTTGTTTTTAACTGGTTTGATACTGAAATATTGGAATAGAAATGCAACTGATAATTAAAAAGCAAGGCAAAATAAAGGAGGATGGCGAAGGAGTGGAAAATGATGAAAAGCTTCCGCCATCCTGCCTTTCTCCCCTAGTCAAATTAAGTTGCCTCCCTGGAAAAATGTGTTGCTTTGCTTTTTTCAATCCCCCTTGCAAAGTCAAATCCTTAATGTGAAAAAAAAAAAAAAGAGTTATTAGAAAGCATAAAGACCTGAAGAAGACATAACGGCCCTTATCATCAATGGTATCACAGATACACCTTCCGTGGGTTCTCATAGCAGTTGTCTGATTGCGGCTGTCTTTACTGGCAATGGAGGCAGTTGCTAGGGAAGGGAGCACCAAATTGCAAACCGAGTGCTGAAAAAAAAAAAATTCTGCACAGGCTGCTGGGAAGAAGTCTGCATCCTCCTAACAAAAGCCGTGGTGCACATTTGTCATTTCTCTAAAGGAAGAGAATCACAAACAAAATGCATGTTCACAATTTGCAGACAATAATTTCACACGGAGAGAACAAGATGGATATAATTAGGCAGGAACTGGCTCCATAAGTTATGATTATGTGGCATTAATGAGATGAAGCAAGTGTGAAGCAAGTGTAGGGCTAATTCTGATTGTAGTGACAATCTAATGATTAATTCAGGTTTCAGTTGGATGTCCCTGCAAGAGGAAGGGTGATTAGCATCCTCCCAGGAGAGTGGTGAAAATGTTGTGGCTTATGAATGATTCTAGGTCTCAAAAATCCTCCAGTAGGACAGGTCTTTTACTGTGTCTTTTTTTTTTTAATGTTTGGCTTTTGTATTAGAGAAACATTAGAATTAAGAAAGAGTGTCACTGAATAACAGGAAAAGATAGCCTTAAATTAACCCTAGTAGCTTTATGTGTCTATGCCTACAAATTGCTGCCATTACCCGTGCGGTATTTTGTTAGAATCACTAAACTGAAGTTTCTTTGTTGTGGAATCTGTACCACCCTTTCTGTAGCAACCAAGGCTGTTTTCCACTTAGCCTAAATGGCATTGTTAGTCCAGCATCAATCACTAACCTTCAGGGTAGGGTGATACTTGTGTGGGAAGTAAGCACCTTATTATCGATGCTATCCATACCATTTGTTTCTTACAAGCATTACCAGGAAATAGCTGGTAAGCTAATCCTCAAATTGACCCAGTATTTAATGGCAATAGCAACAAACCACAATGTAGTGTAAGTACAGGCTAAGAGGAATGCTGAGCAAGGTAGAGGTACATTTACAAGTTGAGTAAGGTGGATATGATGCTCAGATTAG